ATAGATTGAAAATAGTTATAACTTAAGTTCTAAGAAAAGATAGTGATAGTTGACTTAAAAAGTAATCTTGATGAAGGAAATAATGAAGGAAAATATTACTAATTTTGCCCCCCCATTTTACTTTTACAAAAATAAGCAAAGTCAAAATATAAACAAAGGGAAAGTTTCTACCCACACATGAGCAAACATGGGCTTCTCCTTATTTTACAAAGAGCTCATATCAGCAAGAAAGAGGTAAACAATTCTATTGAAAAATAGATTATCAACAGTTCAATGACAATAAAAATGCAAGTAGATATCACACATGGGACAGCTCTCTCAGTTACATTCATAAAGAAATACAAATCAAAATGATGGTGCCGCGTAAATGATCATCTGTGTAACTCTAACACCAAATAAATGTACACAATCTAGTATGGGTGAGGTTTGCCTGGAGGTCTGGTGGGAAGGTAAATTTGCACAACATTTTGGTGCATAGTATCTGTCAAGATGTAAATGCATTTCCTTTGCCAGTCAATTTTATCTTATGGATATATTTTTAAGTACATTATATCTATCTCTATCCTCTATCTGTATTAATATTTGTATCATCTGTGTAATCTTAACCTATTTCTGTGCCTATTTGTAGCAGCGTTACTTATAAGGCAAAAAAAAACTAAAAAAAAGACGGGGGAGAGCTAAGTAAAACTCCTAGGTCTGTAAATAAGAGACTAGATAAATTAAGGCATATACATATTACGGAATATTTTGCGGTTATTAACAGAATGAGATAGATGAATATAGGCTGACATGGCAATTTCTGCAAGTCATATCACTACTAAGTAAAAAGCAAGATTCAAAGCCATATCCACAGACACACAGAAACACAGATGTGGGTATATATGTGCATGCAGGTGTGCTTCATATTTCTGTGTGTATATGTGTATTTTGATGATAGTTTCACGTGGGTATGAATTTGAAGATTTGTAGAATCATCTTTGTGTATCAGAAGGATGTTTAAGGGGAAAGGTTCTGAAGGGAATGGAGTTTGTTTGGGGGTCAAGGTGCCCTTCGGTCTGAGTCAGTCCTTAGCTCAGGAGATCTGTGATTGGGGAGGTAGATCCTTTTGGGCTGTGAGGTTGGTTTCAGTTGACATGAAATTGAAGCACACACTACAGTCTGTTACATATTATAATATAGCCTTTTTTATTAGATACCAATTCAATACCTGACGACAAAGCAAACCACACACACCCAGGTGAGTTTCATTGTCAAAACCATTGAAACTGGGGCCTCCCCGGAGGTGCAGCGGGTTGAGCGCAGTGCTGTGAAGCTGTCTGCAGCCTCCGCCGGCTAGGGAGACACCCATATGGCACGGCAGACCTCTCCCGCCTCGCCTGCTGCACCCTTCAGCAGTGTTTTCAGTCCGGTCTGCCTGTTCTGTTCCCTGCTCTGTCTCTGGTGAATCCTCTCACCCTCCTGCACCTCTGGCCTGTACCCCAGCTCCTGTATAAAAATAAATAAATCTTAAAAAAAAAAAAAAAAAACATTGAAACTGGCTTGGATCCATCTGGCAGCAAGGTGTTGAAAATAGGTCCATACCTTGCTACCTACTGATTGACTGAGCATCTCTACTTTCAGACTTTGTGGGGAAGGGTATACTTGGCACCTTTGTCTCTTGGTTTCTGATGTGCATCTCCTGTCTTGGCCTCTTGGAACCCAGACACACGGAAGGAAGCCGCCACAACCTGGGCCTTCCAGAACGTGGTTCCTGAGATTCTACCAACAATGCCTGAGCGTCCAAAGAGCACGTCCACAGGGCAGTCCACAGAGAGGGTTTGGGAGACATTACTTGCTGCACCTCCCCCTGCAGTGACCTTTAGGGCTAACCGGCCCTAGGTCCAGCTGGGCAACCAGCGCGCAGGGGAAGAACAGCAAAACCCTACCTGCTGCACCTCCCCCGCAGTGATCTTTAGGAATGGCTTTCGCCACGGTCCCTTGATCCGGCTGGGCAACCAGTGGGGGGTGGGGGGGTGGAGAACAGCCTGAAGCAGAGGAAGTTCAGCAGAAGTTCCCTGAAAAGGCAGAAGCTTATCAAAAGATAACGACCACCAAGAACCACTACAAGAATGCTAAAAATCTTATCCCGTCTTTCTAGAACTACAAACTTTAATCCCTTATCTGTCTTTCTAAACTTTCTTCTTTCTTCTATAATGGTCATTGTTTGTTATGTAGATCACCTCCCTGATGGTGATAGACTGAGCCCATGAGCAAGCTAATTTCTTTGATATTCATTCCTGTGCTTTTGGAAAACATATATATACTGGTCACAAACTCAGAGAAAATTACACTCAGATTTTCACTCTTGAAGTGTGTCTGTTTGTCATTTCTTTCACCGACGCCCTGACCACCCTGCATGCTTCTCTCAACCCTGAGGTGTCCTCATCGTCTACTGCTGTGCTGGTCCGCGGCAATTACTGCCGTGAAAAAATTAAGTTTGCCGGAGCATATTTAGTTTTGTCGTGTCCCTAAAATTCTCCAAAGAAAGTGCTTGTCTTCGCTCTAGAATGGTAAGAACATTAAAGTAAATTTGTCTTTTTTCCATCCTTCCTCTCTCCCTCCCGCGTCTTCCTTCCTTGTCTCTTCTTCCTTCCTACCCTTGACTTCTTTCACTTGCGTGAGGACACGCTATCCATCTTCTCCACATGGAAGACTGCCTGGGCGTTTCCCCTCTTCCTTCCTGAGGGAACCCCGATTACGTTGAATAATATAGTAACTCTAGGGAACATCTCACAGTTGGCTCCAAGTGCACGAGTCCATTCCCTTACCAGGGGTGGGTCAAGGAGAAAATGTATGACCCGGTGTTGGCCAGCGTGTGTGAGAGGAATTCTGCTGGTGCTACTTGGAAAGAAAGGGGTAAGAATAGGCTTTTTGCTTCTCTCTCCCTTTTTCGGTTGTGACTATTGGGCTGTCCCATGACGCCTGCAACTGGGGCAGCCGTCCTTCCACATCCCAGGGTGCTCCCTTGGCCCAGAGCCAGTGATAGCAGAGAAGAGGACAGAAAGAGCCTGGGATTGGAGCAGTCCCAGCCTTCTCGAGCATTCCTAAGTAAACTAGAATTTTCCTAATGGTTGAAGTCGGGTTTTTCTGTGACTTGTACCACAAAAGCATTTCCCTGTACACCTGGGCTCTAAAATCAAGTGGAAAGCTCTACTACATTAAATAGAAAAGTAGTCGTGTTAATTATGATGACAGAAATATGATCAAAGAGCTTTGGCTGCACCCAAGACTGATAGTAGCACTGCTGGAAGGGGCTGGGGAGAGCGCCCCATTCTGCCTCCCGGGAGGAGGAGCGGGTGTGGTGAGGCATCTGTGGTCACTGCTAAATCAGCCTGAGCAAGTTTTTTTAAATTTTTTAAAAGATTTATTTATGCGTACAAGAACTGGGGTACAGGCCAGAGGTGCAGGAGGGTGAGAGGATTCACCAGAGACAGAGCGGAGAACAGAACAGGCAGACTGACTGAAACACACTGCTGAGGCGAGCAGCGGGGAGACGAGCTCGCGCTGCAGAGGCTACGGACAGCCTCACAGCTTGCGTGTTAACCCCTCGCGCCCGCAGGGAGGCCCTGAGCAAGTTTTTAAATCCAAGTAGACCCGTTTTGCTGTTTTGGTGGCTTCCTGGCGTTTCCGTGGGCGTATTTTTGGAGAAGACAGGCCTATTTGCCTCCGTTAGAGCTTGATGTTCCAACCTGTCGGGCTGCAGCGGGCCTGCGCAGTGGGCGTGGCCGCCCCCACCTGCCGCACCTGCGCGCCCCACCTGCCGCACCTGCCGAGCCCCCTGACCACGCATGCGCGCAGTGCAGTCGCGGCGGCGGCGCCCCCGCCGGCTTCCCCGACCTTGGGGGGCGTGGGGGTGCGGGGACCCGGTCTCTCTAGACGCAGCGGGAGTCCTCGTCCGTGCGGTTACCGGGGTCGCCTCGGGCCGGCAGGGGAGGAGCGAGCCGGGCGGGGGGCGGGCCGTCGTGGCGGGGCCGGGCTGCGCGTCCTTTGAACAGACACCCCCGCGGCGGCCGCGGACTCGACGCGAGGGGGGAGGTGCGGGCCGCGGGCGAGAGGAGGGCGGCGTCCCCCAGGTCCAGTGCGCGGACACGGTGGGGGCCGTGTCGGCGGCTTCGCTGTGGGAGGAGTCACCCCAAACCCCGTGGCTTCGGGCAGGCCCTGCTCCTGCGTCTGCGGCCACGGGGGGACGGCGGGGTCCCCAGCGCCTCCCGGCAGCGTCTGGGCCGAGCTCGCCCGCGGCTCCGGCCAGGAGCCCCCCGCGCCCCCGACGCGGCCAGGCCTGACGGGCCCACGGAGCTGCGGGCGGGGCCGGCGGGGCCCGAGGCGGGGCGGGGGACACGCCGGAGCGCGGGGGGCGGGCCGCGTCCCCGGAGCCGCCCACGCCGCGGGGTCCCGGGAGACGGCGGGGGGCGCGGAGGGGCGGGGTCTGCGGCCTCCCCAGGTCGTCTTTTGCGCGCTGGGAACCCCGGGGCGTCTGAGGGAGGAAGGGGCTCCCCTGTTTCAGGCTCTGGCCGGGCGGCCCCGCTGGGCCCATCGCAGCCTCCCCGGAACTGGGGCGACGTCTGGGGAGTGTTGGGGTTTGTTTTTGCGGGGGGGGGGGGCGTGTCGCGTCCTCGCGGGCTGCGGCTCGGGCTCCGGAGGGAGGCGGGTAAGTGGACCCGAGAAGCGGGGCCCCCCCATCCGCTGACGCCCTGCGGGCCGCGGCCGCTCGCGGGGTCACAGTCTCCGGGAGGCCCCGCATCGCCGGGGTGTCGCGAGGCCCCCTCCTGCCGCTCGGGTGTGCTGGGGCGCGGCGCGGCCGGCAGGGGCTGTGCGGGGAGGTGAGGGGCGGACACGAGGACACCCGGGCCCCGCGCCCCTCCCAGCCTGGAGCTCGCGGGGGGGGGGGGGGGCGAGCAGGGGAGGGCGCGGCCGAGCACGCCGGCCGCCCGGTCACTCACGGCCTCTCTCTGTGCCCCCAGACCTGCCTGCTCCGGACGCGCGTTCCCCCAGGCCCTGGTCTGAGGACTCCCAGGTAAGGGGGCGCCCTCCCCTCCGCAGACGCCCCGCCCCGGGAACCCCGCCCCGTCTGCCCAGGAGGGCCCCGCGGGACAGGACGCTGGCTCGGGTCCCCGGGGCTGATGCAGCGGCCTCTTGGTCCCCGCAGCCCTCACGCACGAGGCCTCGGCCCAGTAGACCCCCCCCCAGCCCCTCATCTCTGCACCCGGCCGTCCCCTCCCCGCCCCTCCAACCCCGACCTCGTGCTCCCGGCGCCCCCACCCGTGTGGACCCAGGTGGTCCCTCAGCCGTCCCCCGCGCCCCCACCGTGCGCCCTTGCTGACCGTGGGGAGGCGCCGCCGAGCACGTCCTCAAGACGGTCTTGGGGGCACAAGCCCTGGGCGTGAGGGGTCGGGCTGCCCGCAGGCGCGTGTCCACCCCCTGCCCCGCGCAGGCGCCCCCGCCTCTCGCTGGACCCGGCTCTGATGTTCGAGTCACAAAGGGACTTGGGGCGGGGAAAGGCCCGGGGGTGCGGACGGACATGACTCCACAGGCTTGTTCTGGGGCCTCCCGGAGAGGCCAGAGCAGGGCGGGGGGGGGGGCGGGGGGGGGGGGGGGGGGGGGAGGGTGGCGGGGGGGAGGGGGGCGGGGGTGGGTGGCGGGGGGGGGGTGTCTCCTTGGCGCTGCAACCCCGGCCTTTGCTGCAGGAGGGCCGCGGGGGGTCCGGGCGGCGAGGGGTGTCCTGTCTGCTGCGTCCACGGCCCCTCGTGGCCTCCTGTGCGCGCGGGGGGCTCGGGGTCAGAGGGGAGCCGAGGTGGCTCGTGTGAGGTGGAGGGAGAGTGTCAGGGGGCGAGCGGCCCCAGCGCACCCCACCCCGCACGGGAGGGCGCGGCAGGGCCAGTGCCTGCTGTGAGGTTGGGTCCCCCGCTCCGTCCCCCGGCCCCTCCCGAGGCGCAGCCACCCCCCGCGGGCGGCCTCCTTCCAAAAAGTGGGGGCATCTGCGGTCGTCCCAGGCGGGTGGGTTCTTCGTGGGTTCAGGCAGCGGGAAGAGAATGTCGGAGCCGGCGTCACCCCGCAGGTCAGGGACAGAGGCCCGCAGGGACTCCCCGCGCTCTGCGCCGCGCCCTTTCGTGGCCGCCCTGTGTCCCCGTCCCTGGGCCCAGGCCCACCCGGCCCCCCCCCCGCCCCCTCCCCCGGGGCTCCACCACCCTCTGCGCCTCTCCCTACCCCCCCCCCCCCCCGCGCTGCCTGCTTGCGGGGGTGGCCCCGAGCCGAGCCCCACCCTGCCCGGCTCCCGGCTGAGTCGCCGGGACAGGCCATCGGGTCACAGGAGCTCAAGCGCGTTTCCTGCGCCGGGTTACTGGGGAGAGGCTTCCTGCGGAGAGCAGGACACGGGGTTGAGAGTAGGGGAGCTGGGCAGCCTCGGGGTGGGGGGAGGCGGCAGGTGGGGCGTGGCCTGGAAGGGCCCGAAGCAGAGATGAGGGGATGTTGGAGGGAGCTTTTGGGTTGAGGCGGAGGGATTTGGGGCTACTTGGGCTCCGTGAAGGGCAAGAAGCCCGTGCACTCCCCGGGGAGAGGCGGGAGCCAGACGCAGCTCAGGAGAGGGTTCGGTGGAGAAACTTGGGGTCAGAACGGCCTCTAGCCTGGCGAGCCTTGCTAGTGGGGAACACGCGGAGCCGCCTCTTAGGGACAGTCTTCCCTTCCCTCTGCCAGGGCGCTGTGCGATGGGGTGACCCTCGGCCCCCCAGGCAGCGTGGGTGTGGCAGGACCGTGTGGCAGCACCTTCCGCCGGGCACCCTGGACACGGCTTGTGTATCTGTCACCCGGCTTCGTCCTCCTGATATCGCAGCAGCTTGGCACGTGCCTGGCCGAGCCATCCCTGTGCCTAATCCTCGTCCTGCAAGCGGCCCCCCCCAGCCGTTGTCACCCACTCTTCTGTCTCAGGGACAGAAGTGGAGTGCCCCAGCAGATGGCCATCGTCCTGGTGGTGTGTGTGCTCTCCCTGCTCTTGGTGGTGACCGGGAGGCCCCTGGTGCTTTTCCTCTGACCACAGCACCACCGCCGCTGAGGGTTCTGCGGGTCAGTGAGGAGGTGACCGGGCCAGCTGAAGGACAGGCCACTGAGGCTGACCAAGTGCCCTCCCAGCACCTGTTGGGACATTTGTTGCATTTAACGTTTTGGTGAGGCTTTGCACCCGTGTCCCTGAACGAAGTCATCTATGCAAACGTTTTCCATCCCTCTGGGGGGGGGTGGCCAGTGCTAGTAGCTTCCTGACCTGTGTCCTTGGGGCGTAGGATACTTCTCCACATACTGAACCGCCGTCTTGTTTCCAGAGGATTCTCGTGTCTGTCGAGTTCGGGGTCGTGGCTGAGGACTCACTCACCCTTTCATCTGCTTGTAGAGTCGGTTCCTTGACATTTGGAAAGAGGCTGCCGCTGAGGGATCACATCCTGTAGCGAGGGAGGGCCCACTCTTGGCTCCAGTGCATCTGTTGTAGTTTTTTATTCATCCTGATGACGGATTTTGTTGCTAGAAAATCCTGCCACTCAGCCGTTCCCATGTTTGCCTTAATTTATGTTACCCTTCCCTTTTTGGGTCATTTGTAAGGGAGCAGTTTACTCTTCCTTTTTCCAAATAAAGAACATCAGGATGGGTTTATATGCATTTCCCTCCAGATTTTGCAATGTGTTTCCCATTATTAGGTCTTGGGTTTAAGAAAATGTTTCTACTCTTTGTGTTAATGTTGGGGTTGAATCCTTTGTGTTGTCTGACTACAAATTATCCAGTGGTAGAACCAGCTTCGGCAGCTTCGTGAAGTTGGATGCCCCATGTTTTTTATGTCACACCGTCCTGTTTGTAAAGCACAATGACTGGACAGAGTCAAAAAGTCATTTTCTTGATTTCTGGCTTTGTGAAGGGAATGTGGCCTCTCTGCTGCTTTCCCAAGCTTTCTGGAAGCCTTGGCTGCGGCCTGCGTGCATCATGATGTACGTGTGTGTGTGTGTGTGTGTGTGTGTGTCGGACATTTGAGGCTGATTTTCTGTTTGTAGAATCCTGAACTTGGCTTAATTGCACTGTGCACACCTTTTTTTGGCCTGCCCTTGTCCCAAGCTCGTGAAGGTTATGGGAAAACCTCTGAGGATGAGTCTATTTTTCTATTTTTTGCTCTCTGAGCTCAGAAGCTGTGACTATACAAAGTGTTGCTCTGCTGAGAATACGGGATTCACGCAAGAAACCCCAAATAAACGGTGAAAGTGAATCCCTTCATGTCTCTTGACTGGGATTCCAAGGCCTTTTCGTGATAAATGCTGGAGAAATGAGCACATACAGGCTTGAAATGGGGGGGCTTCCCCACATTGTGCTCCTGGGGTGCAGTCACCCCAAGAAGGGGCATCTAAAGGGAAAGGACACAAATCTGATAGGGTCACTGTATCTGTGTCCAGTTGCCTCCTGCCCCATCCACCAGCAGCCTGTTACCACCCACCCTTTTGTGGCCTGCCCATACTGCTGTCACACCCCATTGTGCCCCCATCCCACTGTGGCCCACCACTACCACTGCCACCCTGCAGGGGGGGGGGTGGGTCCTGGGCCAGCCAACTGGTCGACCTCAGCATGGCACAGCAGCAGCCACCAAACCTCCCCCCAGCCCCCAGTAAGGAGAAGGGACCTTACATTCCACCAGCCCCCTGCAACCCAGAATAAGGCAACACACACCCCAGCCCTGAGGTGTTCATTCTGTGCAACCTGGGAAGGAAAAAAGACAGCAAAGGAGATGTGCAGTGGGGGGAGAGGGAGCATTCCTACCCCCATAGCCCCTACCAGGGGACAAGTGGGGATGTGGGACTGGATTGAGGGCACACAGCTCCCTTTTATTGGCAGCTGAGCGTCCCCCTGGCCTCAAAGTCCTGCAGAAGTGACCACCCAAAGACATGTGGAACATAAAAGCACAAAGCAACACCCTCCAAACCACATGTTGCTGCTTTCACTAAGGCATCAGGATATGGGGATCAGTCCCCAATCACCACTGGGGACAGCCCCACAGAGGAGCAGAGAGTCCCCCACCCTTAAAACTGCACTTGGTCTTTTGCTCATGGACTGGGTGACACAGATGTGGGTGAGATCCAGGCGAGGTGACAATGCAGCTTTTATTTTGATGTTGATTTTGCACTTTTCCTTCCAGACTTGTCTGGTTGTTTATGACCCTTTTCTGTGGGTCCCCACTGGAAGATGCTTTAGACTTGTGGCAGGCCTTGGGGCCTTGCTCTGGGCCAATCCCATTTGGATGGACTTTTACCCACGAGGGGACAGGTCACTTTGGGTGCTTGATTTAAAAACTATATTCTTTGCCTTTCCTGTGTTGTTTCCTAATTGTATTAAAGTTCCTTCCCATTAAAGTCTCATGTTTTGTGTTGATGTGGCAGATGGCAGAACCCATTTAGAACAGGCAGGTTTGCAGGGTTCGGGCTGACCCTCTCCCTGTCCTATAACAGATTTGGGGCCCCACTTAGGGCTTGATATAAGGCCTAGCCAAGCCACAGCTTGAGAGAGCTAGTTCTGTATAAGCATTGTGCTAAACACCATGTGGCCACAGGGTCCACCCTCAACAGCACACCCTCTTAAGCAGGGTGGCATAAGGCTGCAGCCCAGACCCTCAAGGCAGGTTAGGGCCACAGGAAGCCACTGCCCTATTTTCCAGGCAAGAGCCCATGGCTCATTTTAGTCTTGAACCAGGCCCCCAACATGTGGGGCACATTATAGGCACAACCCACTCCACCAGGTCTTGGGAAGCCTGCAGGCAAACTTAGAGCCCTGCCCCATAAGCAATGGCCTGAGTCACCACCACAATCTCATCCCACTGATGAGCACAGGCATAGCACAGTCAGCCCAGCCCACACCACTGGTTGGGGTTATCCTGAGTAAAAATGGTACCTTGTAAGGTGCCATGTGAGATGTGGGGCCTGCAGACAGGAGCCACCACCCCCCTCAGCCAAGCAGTGACAGGACTCCCTCTCAACATACACAAGGCACCCCATTAACCACAACTTCCAGAGTGGTCCAGTGACAGTGGAACAACCCTGAAGTACACAGCAACAGGGGACAGAGCCACTAAGCTGGATAGGGGCAAGCCCCACAGCAACAGCCCTCCATGGCCCCTCTCCTGCAAGCAGCAGCAACACCAGCCCCACAGGTAGAACAAGGCTCCCACAGCCACCCCCCATGGATGGCCACACTCTAAAGGCAGTTGGGAGCATAAAGCTGGCCCCAGCACCTGTGGACATTGCCTGTCATGCCCCCCCAGTCTTGAGAGCTGAAACCTCTTGTGTCCAAGCTATAGCACTCACAGCAGGGAATACACCACTCCAGGGGCTCTTGGTACACAGGACTCAACCAGCACTTAGCACTTTGCATCAGGGAAGAATAGCCATCTTAGAGGCTCAGAGCTTTCAGCTTCTATTTACCAAAGAACCCCCACTACTTGACAGTAACATTGGACCTATGCACACAGGCAGGGCTCAGCAAACAGCCAACTGCTTGGTTAATAGTCTTTGGCACTTCAGGCACCTCCACTGCCCACCCAAACTCAGCTCAGTGATGAGAGGGCACTGACCCATCAAGCAAAAGCTACTGAGCTGGGTCTCCACCTGCCCACCAGGGGCACCCCCCATATAGGGCCCAACAACAGGGCTCTAACTCCAGAACCAGCCACGCAGGACCCAAAAGGCACCAGGCTTCTGGTGGGCAAACAGTAGTACATAGATACTACTGGCAAACACCCAGAAACCATAGGCTCTGACACTCAGGCAATCCAGGGACCACCAACTCCAGGCCCCAATGAGCCACCCCATTACAAACCTTTGCTGGATCTACTGTAATGTACCCCCCATGGGGTTATGGTAGCCTGGGTACTGCCCAGGGGGACAGGTACTCAAGAGACCCCACCAGCACAAGCTCCCCCTGCAGACCTACCAGGTCTCTCTTGCACACTAGAGTCGCACCATGGCTCATCCTTTCTCTAGCATCTCCAACAGCACCACACAAATGCTCCTCTAGCCCCAAAACACCCATGTGCCCATGCGGTGTCAAAGCACTGACTCTTTCCAAAGTGAATGCTCCAAGGTAGCAGGATACCCCACTAAGAACCAAGGCAGTATCCACCAGGCTACACCAATTAGCAGCCACAGGCACCCACAGCTCTGAGAGCAAAGACTGACCCCAAGCCTCACCTGGGGTCCACCTACAACCTGACTGCTTAGTGAGCATCAACCATAGAATACAAGGGCCTTGTCACTGCATCCCAGGTGGGTGGTCACCTTGGGCAGGAGCCCAGAGACCCTCACACAGTGTAAGCCAGAAGGCAGGTGCCTGGTGGTGGTCAGAACAGCACAGAGCATGGCCACAGAAGACCAAGGCAAGATGGGCTACAGGCTCTGAGGGCCCAACTCTGAGGCCATAAATGCACAGTAGGATCAGCTCATGATACTAGCAACTGCATGACTGACCATCCAAGAGAGGACAAGCTCCCTAAGGAGCTAACACACCACTGGTATATTTGCGGGCACTCAGTCAACCCCAACTTGGTCTGAGGCCAGCAGCATAGCAGGGGGCCCCACCTATTACCATGGCTCATTTTCACAGTATAAGAAGAGCAAGGCACATGGGGGGGTCAGAACCTTATAAACCGGAACACAGAGACTGAGCAAGTCCTGACCCATTGGGACACTCAGCAGCAGCATCTCCACGGAAAACATGCACCCAGCAGGACACCTGCATCCTCCTCCCAGCCACAATGTGCCAAATTCACAGCATGGGCAGCAGTCACCAGCATTTGGTGGTGCAAGGCCTGAACCAATAGCAGCCTGAGACTTGGAGAGCTTTCTCTACACAGCCACCTGCACCCACTTTGTGGGCACAGGGCACCCCCTCACAGGAAGGGCCAGTGCAGGGCAGAGCTCACCGTGTAGGTGGGGGAGTGACACCTGTCGTAACAGTCTTGAAACAATGCGTCCAACCCCATTCAAAAACTACTCCCCTCGCCAATTCCCCGATGGGGGGTGCATTGTGAGTCCAGTGTACGCATCACGCATGAGGCACAACTGCTCTTGTCAGGTCTTGTGGCGTCTGCGGGACACTCACAGTCCTGCCGGGCAAAAGCTCTGCTCACCAGCACCCGGAATTGCTCCAAGACCCTCTTTATAGAACTCCGCGTTTTCCCACGGTGAAGACTGGTTTTAGTCACTGCGTTTGCTGCCCCTTGAGACACGCTCACCCCGCTCTTAGAAAGAGGGAAGTCCCCGTGGCGAAGCCGTGCGCGGTAACAGGTTTTGTTTACACCGCGGGTTGGTGCTGCTGCCCGGCGAGGTGTGGGGCTTTGAGGCGCCGTAAAAGGCGCACGGGCTCGCGCAGAAACTCGAACGCTCAGGCGCGGGTGAGGGGACACCCAGGCTCCGGCTGAGGAAAGGAGCTCCTGACACTCTGGTGGCAGAAAGCGCCGATTTTGGGCCAGAAATACCTCGGCGCCCAGGGGCGGGGCCGAGCCGCAGGTCCCCGCGGGCCCCTGGTGCGGCGGCCCGGCCCCCGGCCCCCGCGCGACCCCTTTCCCCCGCCCCGGGGCTTCTGGTCGACCTCGGGCGCGGGGAGGGGCCGGGACCCCGTGGCGGGGCCGTCCAGCCTCGGCTCTCCCCGCGCCGGGGGCGCTGCCGTCCCGGCTCCCCGCCGCGGCCCTCCCCGAGGGCAGCTCCGGCCCGACCCGCCGGAGACCCGCGTCCTGCGGCTCCGGCCCCGGGATCCGGCCCTGGGACCCCGGCTTAAGGCCACGGCCCCAGCCCCGACACCCGGCCTTTCCGCGGGCTTCTGCGCGCAGCTCGCACCCCGCGGGTCTCGCCCCCGTCCCCCGCGACCCCGGCGCTCGGCCCCCCGCGAGCGCCCCTGCCTCGGGGTCTCGACCCGGCTCAGCTTCCCCGGCCCCGCCCGCGGCTCCGGCTTGGCGACTCGGCCGCTCTCAGCCCCCTCACCCGCGGCTGCTGTCCCGGCGCCGGCTCCAGACACCCAGGCTCGGGGCCCCTGCCCGACCCCGGGGGCACCGATCCCGGTTCATTCGCGGCCCCCGACCCCGCAGCTCCTGCCGGAGACTTGGGGCGAACAGCAGCGGCACCTCCGACCTCCGGGCACGGCAGCGGCTGGAGCGGCCTGGACCCCGGTCGTCCCTCGCACCCCCGGGGCTCCCTCCCCCGGAGCGGGGCGCGGCAGTCGGGCTGACAGAGATGCACCCCCGGGCGCGAGGCAGCCGCTGCCTCCCTCGGGACCTGGCCGACAGATGCGCGCCCCGCGCTGGGCCGGTCCCGCGGGCTGCGGGGGTCTCGGACGCGCTGCGTTTGTACCGGGCGCGCTGGGCGGCCCAGGCGGGCTGCGGGGGTCCCGCGCGTGGGGCCCCGGCGGGCTGCGGGGCGCTGGTCGACCCGCGCAGGGCGCAGCGCCCACCCTTTCATGCGAGCGCGCTGACCGCCTCCCCGTAAGCCTGCGCCCACAATCCCCCGGCGTCGGGCGCCGCGCGCACAGCCCGCCCGACCGGCCCGTCCCGCCCGCGCGCCCCGGCCTCCTGGAACCGCGCGCCGGGCGCCGCCGCCAAATCCGCCCCCTTCGCGGTTCGGCGTGCGGGCGGCAGGCGCCGTCTATGCGGCCGCCAGGGGGCGCCCACGCCCCCCCACCTCGCCCGGCCGGCTCCGCCTCGCGCGCGGCTCTGGCGGGGAGGCCGCGCTCCCGGGAAGACGCCGAGACCCGGCGGCCGAGGCGAGGCGGGGGGTCGGCGCGCACCAGCACGAGCCCCGCAAGGACGCGGGACACGACCCAATGGCCCGGCCCTGGGAAGCGGGGGCGGAGGCGGCGGGGTGTCCCTTCCCCGTGGCCGGAATTGGGGAGCGGGTGTCCGGTGCCCGTCTGGGGCCTGGGGGCGCAGGTGCCCCGAGGTCAGGCCTCCTGCCGGATGGCCGCCGGCGGTGGCCTCGGTCCCTCCCCTGGGGTCGCTCCGCCTGCGCAGCCCCTTCGCGCGCGCCTCTGGGAACAGGGCCGCCCTCTGCACCTTCCGCTCCCACCGGAGACCCCTCGGCTCGGCTTATTCGGGGGATGCCAGGACCCTCCTCTGACGCCCGGCTTCGCAGCGGCGCGCAGGGTCCCGGGGCGGCCCCGGGGCGGGACGGCTCCTCCGGGCCCTCCCAGCGGGCTCAGGAGGACCTACTGGGTGCCAATGGCCGGGCGCAGGAAAGAAACGGAACTCTTGCCTTCTGACTTGGAGAAACCCCAGGGCTAGTGCTGTGGATGCTCACCGTGCGTCCCTTCACCCCAGGACTCATTCTTCCTGAGGGCCCACTGTGTGCTGAAGCCCGACATCCAGAGTACAGGGGAGATTCAGACCCCACAATTCCTGACCTGCTGGGCACCAGGGCCAGGCCAGGGCTTTCCCCACTTACTCATTTCCCCGGATGTTTTCTGGGGACCTGCTGTGTGTCAGGGCCAGTGTCGGCGATGCCAGACCAGAAGCAAAACGTCCGACAGTCCCTGGTTCCTTCGCAGAACCGAGCTGAGCTGAGCTGAGAGGCCTCCCGGGTCTGGGCTCTCCTCCTCCAGTTATACACCCGCAGATCACTTGTGCTTAACTTATTTTCAAAGAAATCATGTTTTTCAAACTTTTGGGGTAGGAACAAAGAAACCTGAGGATGGCTTGGACAAGGATATGAAGAGATCACTCCGTTGGGATGATGCTGCAGCTGTTTAGGAGATGATTTTGCTTAGACACGCAAGCGAAGGTATTTACCAGTGAAGCGAGGTCAGATCTTATAATTTATTTCAAAATAAATTTGGAAACATAGACGTTTCCATGATCTATTTCAAAAGCAGTTTTCTATTGTAGAGCTTAGTAAACTCTTGTTTTTCTTGGTGTTGTTTAAAATGTCAAGAGTGTTGGATTAGGGAATGCACCATGCTTTATACTTTTCGGTGTAATTGGAAAATCTTGTTTTTCTTTTAAACGTGGGGTTTTTGTGCAAACCTGTTGTCCTAGGCACAGGGCAATTCGTCAGTCGACGTTGTGCCCAGACTGTGGGCACCTCGGGTACGCCGTGTGTAGGGTGTAAAAGAATGAATGGAATCCCCAGGGGCCCACCCGTGTGGGGGCGCATTCAAGCAAATGAGCGAATATTCACAGGAACCCTCCCTTACCGGAAATAGGGCAAAGGCAGCCAGGGACCACAGACAATGGTGCCTGGGGGTCCCCTGGGAGGACTCTGGGGGGACTCGGTGCCTCTGGGGGGGACTTAGTACCTCGTGGGGGTTCGGTGCCGGGGGAGGGGTGACTGGTTATCTTTTTGATTGCACAAGTTGCCCACCACGGGGCCGTGAGTGGTGAGACAATGTTGGGGTTCTGCTGTGATTATGGCTCCGAGGGAGGCCGCGGCGGACCTGCGCCCAGTACTGCGGCGGCGGGGCGCCCCGAAGGCAGAGGCTCCTGGAAGGGGGGTCCTTTGGTGTGCGGTGCCGGCCCCCGTGCCTCCAGGGCTCCCCGACCCCGCGGCCGCGCCGTCTCCGCCCTCAGCCCGTGGGAGGCGCGGCGCGGCCAGTCTCTCCGCTGCAGAGTCCGGCGGGGCCGCAGCCCGTGCATCCTGCTCCCGGCGGCTCCGCCGCAGTCTCGGTTCCGGACCTGCAGGGCAGAAAAGGGAAACCCGAGCGGGCGCCCTTTGTCTCAGGTGCCCATTGTCGTGGGGAGCTGGCGGAGCGGGGTCGCGCTCAGGTCAGGGGGTGCCAGGCCGGGGTCGGGCTGGGAGGCGAGCGGGGCCCAGGCCGGGGCAGGGGCGCGGTGGCCACGCGGGCGAGGGTCAGATGGCGCAGGGGCTCGGGCGCTGCGGACGCGGGCCGGGTGTGGGGGCCCCCTCGTGCTGGGGGCCCCGCGCCCTCGGGCTGCACCCCTCTCCCGGGGGCGCAGCGGGCGTCGGGGGGAGGAGGACGGAGGGGGCGGCGCGGGGGTCGCCCCGCCTCTGCACCGCGAGGGAACAGACGCGCACTCGGCGCAGCCGCGCCGTCCCCGTCCCGGTCCAGCTCCGGGGGCTTTGGGCGGCCTCCGCCGGGCGCGGCGAGTTCGGGCCGCGTTGCCGCGGCCCCAAAACCCCCATCCCGCCGCGGCGCGGGAGAGCGACGCATCCTGGAGGCACCCATGCCGGGAACTACAACTCCCAGAAGGCGCCGCGCCGCCGAGACTACAACTCCCAGAATCCCCAGGCGGGCTGGGGACGGGGCGTGCCCGCGGGGGCGGGGCCGGCGCGCGGACCAGAGAGGCGGAGGCGCCGGCCCCAGGTCACGCAGCGGCCCGCGGCGCCCTCAGCCCACAGGCGCCCCCGCGCGCCCCCAGCTGCGCGTCCAGCCCTCGCCGGTCGCTCGCGGGCTCGGCCGATTCCCCGCAAACGTCGGGGGCTCCCCAGTGCGAACACGGGTGACGCCGACAGACCCGCCCGCGCCCCTGACGCCCGCGGCCCCCACGCCTGTCGCGCCGCCGGCGGGCCCCGAGGGGGCAGAACAGGGGGCGCGGAGTCTCCGGGGAAGGAGCCCCAGGGGAGCCCGGGAACCGTCTCAGCGCCGCGACCTCGCGCCCGCAGCCCCCGCCTTCCCGCGCCCGCCGCGGGGCCTGTCCAGGGCCGGGCGGCGCCTCCGGAGCTGGCGCGCGGGGAGCGGGGCGTCTGCGCCGGGGAACGTCTCCCCGGAGCCCCGGGGTCCCCGCGGGCCTCCCCTGACGGCACGAGCCCACCGGCGGCCGGGGTCGCCCCTCGGGGACGGGCTGACGGGCACGAGCGCACTGGGGGGCCGGAGCCCGAGCAAGCGCGGGACCCCCGGCTCGGGAGGCGCAGGAGGGGGAGGAGAGCGGGGAGGGCCCGGCGGGACCCCCCAGGCTGGGGAGGGCGAGGAGGGCGGGGAAGGGCGCGGGCGCGCGCGGGCTCTCGGCACAGTCGCCAAGTCATGTTGGGGTGCGGAGGGGCGCAGGGGCTGATAACCTGCGCAGCTCGCGCCCCAGACGCGCCGAGGGCGGGCGGGTCGGGCTCCCGGGCCCGGCGGGCGCTGGGTCTGGACAAAGGAGCAGCCTCGGCCGAGCTTTCCGGGGCCAGAACGGGGTGGGGGTGGGGGGTGCTCGTCGGCCCCGAGCCCGGAAGGCAGGGGAGCCCCTCCC